GCATTGGCTTTTTTAGCTGCCGCGTCACATTGTTGGCTCATGTCAAGTTTGTGGTCAACCAAGACTCCTAGATCCTTTTCACATGTACTGCTCTCAAGCCAGGTGTCCCCCATCTTGTATTTGTGCCTCTCATTTTTTTTGCCCAAGTGCAATACCTTACATTTCTCCCTGTTAAAATTCATCTTGTTTGTTTTGGCCCAGTTCTCTAATCTGTCAAGGTCGTTTTGAAGTGTGATCCTGTCCTCTGGGGTGTTAGTCACCCCTCCCAGTTTGGTGTCATCTGCAAATTTGATCAGGATGCCCTTGAGTCCATCATCCAAGTCGTTGATAAAGATGTTGAATAAGACCGGGCCCAAGACAGAACCCTGTGGCACCCCACTAGTCACTCTTCTCCAGGATGAAGAGGAACCATTGATGAACACCCTTTGGGTTCGGTCAGTCAGCCAGTTACAAATCCACTGAGTGGTAGCATAGTCAAGACCGCATTTTACCAGCTTCTTTACAAGAATATCATGGGGCACCTTGTCAAATGCCTTGCTGAAATCAAGGTATACTACATCCACTGCGTTCCCTTCATCTACCAGGCTTGTAATTCTGTCAAAAAACGAGATCAGGTTAGTCTGACATGACTTATTTTTCAGAAATCCATGCTGACTATTGGTGATCACAGCATTCCTTTCTAGGTGCTCACAGACTGTTTGCTTAATGATCTGCTCCAGAATCTTCCCTGGTATTGATGTCAGACTGACTGGGCGGTAATTATTTGGGTCCTCTCTTTTCCCCTTTTTGAAAATAGGGACAACATTTGCCCTCCTCCAGTCTGCCGGGACTTCGCCTGTTCTCCAGGAATTCTCAAAGAAGACTGCCAGTGGTTCTGAAATCACATCTGCCAGTTCTTTTAATACTCTTGGATGCAGTTCATCTGGCCCTGGAGACTTGAATACATCTAGACTAGCCAAGTATTCTTGTACTATCTCCTTAGTTATTCTGGGTTGTGTTTCCTCTGCTGAATCATTTGCTCCAAATTCTTCAGGTCGGGCATTGTTTTCTTTATCGGAGAAGACTGAGGCAAAGAAAGCATTGAGGAGTTCAGCCCTTTCTGTGTCCCCTGTTTGCATTTCACCATCTTCTCCTCTGAGTGACCCCACGGTTTCTTTGTTCTTCCTTTTGCTACGAACATACCCATAAAAGCCTTTTTTGTTGCTTTTAACCTCTCTAGCAAGCCTGAGTTCATTTTGTGCTTTAGCTTTTCTGACTTTGTGTCTACACGTGCTGGCTATTTGTTTGAATTCCTCTTTGGTGGTTTCCCCCCTTTTCCATTTTTTGTACACATCCTTTTTTAATCTTAACTCAGTTAAAAGTTCTTTAGAAAGCCACCCTGGCTTCTTTAGGCACCTTCCATGTTTCCGTCTCATTGGTATTGCCTGAAGTTGTGCTTTTACTATCTCCCTCCCTTGTCTTCTCCCTCTGGTCTCAGCAATTTACGTTTGAAAAATAAAATCTGATATTCTCAGGTTTCCAGTTTAGCCAACTGCTAAGAATAAAGCTTTGTTGTAAGCCACTTATGCTTCAATCTTTTCATGTTTCCTTAGAAGTAAACGGCACTGTTCTAAATTTGTTCCCAGGTAAATGTGCAGAGGCTTGCAATTTCTGTCATCCTGAGTTGTTCTCATGTAATCGTGTTTTGTAAAATGATCATAAACAAACTTGAAAACACAGAGCTCTACATTCAGTACAAAACAAAGCGGTATGGGACCTTTGAGAGCTCTTTGGGCTTCCTGGTTTGAGTATTTGTGTGGAACCAGGGCTTGGGGTGAGTCACTTGCTTCTTTTCTGCTAAAAAAGCCAATTGCAACTTTTATAAAAATCTGCAATTTTCAGAGGATTCAGGCTGAATGAATGACCGCTAGTATTCACTAGTCAGTTTTGTTTGCTTTTTTGCTAGTGGAAATCGCAGTACAAGTTGGCAATAACAATAATATGAATGGATGGGCGTTATATTAAAACCAGCAAGATTCTTTACAAAATGAAAGAGTTTGAAGTGGACATTTAAAATTATAGCACAGAGGTGACTGGGATTTATATGAAGCTTAATTATTTTTAGCGACTGCATTTTGAAATTAAGATATTTGGCACTCCAGTTTGTCTCTAAAGCAGAAAACGGATGTGTTTTACATTTCTTTGAACAAGAAATTCATGACACACTATGTGAAACCAGGAATGAACCCTGGAATGAGACATATTCCCCCAAGGAAGACTTGTTGTGTCTGAATAGGTTAGTTCCACTGTGTTAGCTTTAAAAGTGTGATTTTTACCTGGTACTATATAGGATATTTACTTGAAAGGATATTTTAACCCTCTTGTGGCCAGGCAGACTTGTATATATGCCCTCTCTAAAGCACTTTCATATAGGAGCAAACCTAGTTATAAAACGAGGCAAAATAGTAATATTTTGGGAAAACAAATAAGGAGGATTCCCCTCATGTGACAATTTAAAAATAATTCAGCAACAGCAGCATATTTCATTTTTTATTTACTTATCTCTCCATGTAGCATGTACCATGTGGAACAAACCTTAAGAATGGATAGGATCTGTAAATTAGCTAGCTGTCAGAACCCAGCACCCCTGCTTTCTGTGCTATATTTTTCAGAGAGTTAATGGAGCATAAGTTGCTAAAAGTGTGAAATGGGAAGTTCCTGATTCAAATATCACCTCAAGCAGCCATCCAGTTGCCTTAAGCAATCCATTGTTCTGCCTGCCTTCGCTCCACATTTCAGCTATGAGAGTAGCAATACTGGATTGTTACAGGACTGTTGTAAGACTTACGGCGGTAATAAGTGTGGCACACCTGAAATGCGCTGCGTAACTGCTAACTGCTAACTGCTGTCTTCAGACAGCCTACCCCCCCCAAACCCTGCATATTCCATCAATATAAGCTTGTCCTCTGCCCTGATCCTCATTTTAATCCCAAGGTGAAATCTGTGTCCAAAGTTCTTTGCCCGGGTGGTTTTGCCTTCCCTCTGAACTCCTCCTTCTTGTTCTCAAGAGCATATATGACATTCACTGGATGTCAGTCATGCCCTGCAGTTTTATTTGGATCCAACAGTGAAATTTAGGAAATCGGAGTCCCTCCTTGTGGCATTTTCGGGAGCTTCCAAAGATATAAATGTGTCTACAGCCACGATTTCTTGATGTGCAAGTCTGCTCCCTCTGGAATGACTGCTCACTCTTTCAGGGAAGCAGCTGCCGCAGCTGCTTGCAGGTGTAGTTTTCCTATCATAGATATTTGCTGGGCATCCACTTGGGCCTCGCCACACACTTTTGTAAAACACTGCAGAATAGATTTACTTTCATCAGCCGATGGAGCCTTTGGCAGAAAGCTTCTCCAGAGGGTTTCTGCTGCAGTAAGTAAAGGCAGAGGAAACCCAAGCAGGTCTGAAGGAGGCTCCTCTGATATATATCTACGAGGAATGTCTTCTGTCCCTATCTGGCAAAAATGGAAATTGTACTTAATGAGAATTTCTATTTGGAGATAGGGACAGAGGGCACCGCTCCTTTCTTTGTGTTTTCCCCTTCTGGAGTGAGATTGCTGATGTAGGACTTCTGCTGCTGTCTTACATATTGCACACATTATTTGAGTACTGGTGTATGCCCAGTTTTGTTATGTCTAGGACCAGGTCTCCTTCTTTGCTATTTCTCTGGCTTGAAGTTGTTGTTCTCATCTGGTTGGCAGCCAGGTTCTGCAGACATGGGATTTGGGGTCGAGGAGTTGTCTTCATTCTTGCCAGTCAGTCTGGAGGGCAGGAGCTGAACAGTTCTGAAGATCCTGCCCCTCATAGCCAGTGGGAGGAATCATCCTTACAAGGAATGCCCTCCACCCCTATTTTCAAATAAATTCCCAATTCCCCCCCTGAATCATATATTTCTGTTTCCTTAAGAATGGATTTAAAATATTGTCTTCTTCCTATTAATGGATTGTATATCTAGATTAGGAAGCAGAAAAAAGCAGAATTTGTATTTTGAACAAGATATACAATGGTACCTCTGGATGCGAAAGGGATCAGTTCCGGAGCCCCGTTCGCATCCTGAAGCGAATGTAACCCGTGTCTGCGCGGGTTGCGATTCGCCGCTTCCGCGCGACGTCATTTTGAGCGTCTGCGCATGCGCGAGCGGCGAAACCTGGAAGTAATGCACTGTTACTTCCAGGTCGCCGTGGAGCGCAACCCAAAAATATTCATCCCTAAGCTACTTCAACCTGAGGTATGAATGTAGTCCATTCTCTCTCTCCAATCTTTCACTATGATACCTTGGAACTGTCCATAGGCTTTGGGAAGTTACACAAGGGCTTTGTGTACCTTCCTTTTTAAAGTGTGTGTACATTTTGTTTTTACCGCCGCAGGCCTCTTCATTATGAAGTTCATCAATTCTCACATGTTATAAACTGAGAAACAAAAATCTCAGCAGATACTGTACAGACAGCTTCCTCTTTGCACTCAACTGCTCACACGGACAGTGCCAGGAACCTGGAAGTGGAACCCGGAAGTGGGGGGGCACCCTGTAGAATCCTGGCTCATGAGGAGACCCTCATGAGGATGTCCTCTTCAGGCTCCAGGGAGGGACTCCTCATGAGCTGGAGGTGGAGTGGGGCTTTGTTGAGTCTGCTCAGCCTCCCCGCCTAACAGCTGACATGCAGGGTAGTGCAGCAGCCGATGCCGTCTCCTTGCACGTCAGCTGAGCAAGCCCCGCTGCCCCTCCTGCTCACGTGAGCCAGAGGGGCGGAGGGGCCTTGTTGAGCCGCGCAGCTGACGGGCGGGGAAGCCTGTATCATAGAATTTTAGAGTTGGAAGGGATTTTGAGGATCGTCCAGCCCAACCCCCAGTAATGTCATATGAGCACCGTCTCCCAGAAACTACTCCTGTACAAATATCATCAAAATGAACAGGACACCTGGGCGCCTTCTATTCAGCTGGCCTGGGAGTACTCACTGGTAGATACTGACCCATAATTTGTTTGCATGTAAATCCTGAAAGGGAATTCAGCCTCTTCCTTTCCTTTCGAAAATGACCGTATTTGTTGTCTTGCTGTCAACATTTTACATGATTTCACATTCCAGGGTTGCTCTGCCCATCTGTAGTTGGCAGGGGGAAGAACTGAGAAGGCTGAACTGTTGTGCGTTGCTTTTCTGTGAAATATGGAAAGAATGTAAAGTTGTTGTTGTTGTTGTTGCAAGCCTCAGACAAAGCAACACAAAAATGTACATTGAGCTTTCAAACAGGCTTCACGCTACCACACACTAAGCATATTGTGTCTGTCTCCATTTCTTATTCTTTCTCATTACTTCCAGTCTTTAGGAGGAACTGCAGTTGAAGGACTTTGTTAAAATTACGAAAGAAAGTGATGAGTCACGCTGCTTTCCCCAATAGCTTCTAAATCTGAAATCTACATCATGGCTTCTGCCTTGCTATATCCGTGGGAAGGGGAGGGGGCACAAAATTATACTAGTATGTTAGCCTGAGGTTCCCAGTTTCCAGCTTGTGTGTGTGATTACCTAATATTCCTTCCCAGTTGTTTCTTAACATTACTCATACCAGTCTAAAGCAACTATCTTCTCACTTTCCTCACTAAACATAGTTTCCCTTTGTGGGCTGTTTAGAATGCTTTTTTTGTGTCTGTGCACTATAGTTGCCTCAAACTGGCACTGATTTAGGTAATAATAGTTACAAGCTCAACAAATATGTAATCAAAATAATTTTGCTCATGCTAAGCTTTATTCACCCCCCCCCCAATTTCCACAAAAGCGGAAAGGAAAGAAAAAGGCAGGCTGCCACAAGTCTTATTTTATCTTACCAGGCAAGTGTTTATCAGGGGCTGCCCAGGAAAGTGCATGAACGGAGAGGCATGATTCAAATGCACCAATGGTGGAGCTGTGGAATCTTAGAGTTGGGAGGGACCCAGGGGTCATCTAGTCCAACCCCCTGAAATGTAGGAATCTACGCAGGAATTTCCATGGTATTTTGGAAATAATGAGCCAAATGGTTGGCTGTGATGTGAGGTCTTAAGACATGGGTTGCCAATCTTTCTGAGCCAACAGGCACATTTGGAGAAGGCGCTGTGGTCACCAGTCGTTAAATGGCTGCCATGGAGGTGTGGCCTAACACAAAATGACGGGGCCACAAAATGGTTTGGGCATGCCGCCCCCCTCCCTCAATGAAGAAAACGTGCAGTAGCTACTAGTTCAGAATGGATGTGTGTGTGTGTGTGTGTGTGTGTGTGTGTGTCCACGTGTCCACTCCTGGCAGCCAGCGAAATGTGCTGTGTTCAATGAGCCAGTACAAACAGAACCTGAGCAGTCTACTGTATTGTGAATTGTGAATTTCTGAGGAGATATCTTCTGAGACCTTTCCTGGGGGGAGTAGGGTGCTGCTGGCCAGCACAGTGGTGTCTGTGGGTGCTGCACCAACTTTTTAAAGCTCTTGAGAAGGCAGGACTATTGAAACACATTCAGAGATATGACTGCGTCAAGGCACAGTGATATGTTTGCGTGCACATCCAAACCTATGTGGGCTTGATTGTCAAGGAACAATCTGCTGAGCTGAGGGTTTCCATTGCTCTTCCACGGAACGTGGTCTTGGAGCGGAAAGTGACCTAATGTGGACAGTCGGAGCTTGAAGATAATGGGTCACTTCTACTGCTCTTCTCTGGCTGCTGTGATTCAGTGCGATTCAGTGCTATATTGCCTCTAATTCTGGAGGTGGCATTTAGCCATGGCCATTAGTAGCCATTGGTAACCCCCTCATCCATGAGTTTGTCTAATCCTCTTTTAACTCTTGTGACTAATAGCCTTTACTGTGTGGTAGTGAGTGCCATACAGTGGTGCCTCGCAAGACGAAATTAATTCGTTCCGCAAGTTTTTTCTTCTTGCGAGTTTTTCTTCTTGCGAAGCACGGTTTCCCATAGGAATGCATTGAAAATCAATTAATGCGTTCCTATGGAAACCGCTTGCCAGGCAGCGCTTCTCCTCTGTTCCCGGGGCTTGCGGTGGGAGGAGGGTTTTTCCTCCCCACCGCCAACATTCAGAACAGCCTTCCGAAGCCTGGCGGCGGGGCGGAGAGACCTCCTCCCGCCGTCAGGCTTCGGAGACTCCTTCCGAAGCCTGGCGGCGGGAGGAGGTCTTTCCGCCCCACCGCCAGGCTTCGGAGCATCCTTCCGAAGGCTGGTGGCGGGAGGAGGTCTTTCCGCCCCACCGCCAGCCTTCGGAGGAGGTCCGAGGACAGTGGGGAAGAGGCGCTGCGCTTCCCCGCTGTCCCGGAGATTTCCCTATGGGCTTTCGTCTTGCGAAGGAAGCCCATAGGGAAATTCGTTTTGCGAAGTGCCTCCAAAACGGAAAACCCTTTCGTCTAGCGGGTTTTCCGTCTTGCGAGGCGTTTGTCTTGCGGGGCACCACTGTATATTAATTAGGTGTTCTGTGTATTTTCTTCTGTCTGTCCTAAAATGGGCTCTTAATCAGTTTTACTAGGTGACCTCCACTCTGGCATCATGAGAAAGGGAGAGAAAAAAACAACTTATCACTATCCACTTCTTCTACACCTTGCACACTTCCACAAACATCTTTATGATGCTCTTTTTTCTCAACTGAACATTCTTAAATGTTGGACGTCTTTCATTGTAGGGACTGCCTCCTGGTTCCTTGATCCTTTTGACTGCACCTTTTCCAGCTCTGTGATATCCTTTCTGAGGTGGGAAGATGGTGACCCATGTTATTCCAAGTGTGGACACGTCAGGCATTTGTGTAAAGTTAAAGGCAGTTTTATTTCCAGCCCCTTCCCTAAGAATCCCTAGCAAGTTATTTGCCCTTTTCACAGCTGCCGCATGCTGGGTCAACATTTCTCAAAGTATCTGCCATGGCAACCGAGAAAGCTTCCCTTATACCACGTCAGCCCGGCCTTTGGCACACCTTGTTTGCTATTGTCTCTGCAAAAAGGTTGCAGATGACTTTGAGTAACGTGTGGGGTTCTAGGGTCACTGTCATCTCAAAAAGAGGATTGTTTTTAACAGTTTAAAATCCTTCAACAGCAGAAGCGGAACTCTTAACCACGGCCAAAGCGCAGCACTGTCCACAACTTTGCTCCTACTGTCATCTCTATCTACAGAGACATGGTGGTAGCAGCGCCAGCGGAATTGTGGGCAATATATATCTGTGCATCACCCCTGACACTAGAGTAAATGTTACGTCAGGCCTCTCCCCCAAGATGCATGCTCCTTGCATGCTTCCAGGTGTTGATTATTTAGCAGCACCCAAGAGAGGCTGTTCTGCTTTAAAATGGAACGAAGGTAAAAAGGTAAAGGTACCCCTGCCCGTATGGGCCAGTCTTGACAGACTCTAGGGTTGTGCGCTCATCTCACTCTAGAGGCCGGGGGCCAGCGCTGTCCGGAGACACTTCCGGGTCACGTGGCCAGCGTGACGAAGCTACTCTGGCGAGCCAGCACCAGCGCAGCACACGGAAATGCCATTTACCTTCCCGCTAGTAAGTGGTCCCTATTTATCTACTTGCACCCAGGGGTGCTTTCGAACTGCTAGGTTGGCAGGCGCTGGGACCGAGCAGCGGGAGCGCACCCCGCCGCGGGGATTCGAACCGCCGACCATGTGATCGGCAAACCCTAGGCGCTGAGGTTTTACCCACAGCGCCACCCGCGTCCCCTAAAAAAATGGAACGAAACCCGTATCCAAATTCCCAGCTGTCTGTAACCAAGCAGACAGCCCCCATTTCCCTAACTCCAAATGTTGGGTGGCGGCAGGGGGTGGGGGCCGTGTGTGTGACTGAGACCTGTGTGTGTGATAAGGGTCAGATATTCCCTCCCCCCCACACTATACTCCTGATTGTGATTCCTCCCCCAACTCTCGTGGCACTGCAATTTAGGAAGAAAAGAGAAAGAAACAGATATGAAGGCGCTGGTATTTAAAAAGAGAAGGGTTGATTCCCTCAGAGGAGAGGGAAAACAAATGGCTATAGCAGCCTTGGAAATAGTCTTTGTGCCGGAGTCAGCTGAGCAGCAACACAAGAGGTCACCTGCGCCTGGAGAAATTGCACAGCCATTCCTTTGATAATTTTAAAAGTTGTATTTTCGGAGCTCTTAAACATAAAACTCAACACACACGCACAATGAGAAGGGGGGTGTTTCGTTCATGACATTGTGGAGCTGCCTTTTCAAAAGTAAGTGAAAAAAGCAGGGCAACACCACAGTAAATGCTCAGTGTGCAAGAGGCCATGTTTATGTGCGCTTAACGTTAAGCGATTTGGTTTGTAGTTTCCCGGATTGCTAAAAACAAACCCAAAAACTGCATTCGATGGACTGCTCTTCAAGCATGTGGTGTGGAGGCCCCTTTTAGGGACAGCTTGCAAAGTTTGGTTAGCTTAGCAATTTCACGCAAAATTGGTACAGAGCGCCTTATTTTGGTACACTTGACACTGTGAAATCTAAGGGCCATTTGTCACAAGATGCAGGGGCAAACCTGGGATTGGTACAACGTGGGCACTCAAAGCAGGAGCTGTAGCCCTGCTCATTATTGTATGACACAAGCATTTATTGCACATTTACACTTTATATCTTTTCATAGTACGCACAAAGCTTATTAGACATATATCTAAAAAGGTAATGTACAAAACGGCCCTATCAGCCAAAGCAGCTTCAATGGGCTGAGCACTACGTAATGCATAATGCTCATGGAAAGAAAACTTTGCAATATATTATTATATCACAGGGGAACCTTTAGTATGATAAATATTTCATCAGGATAGTAGGCCAAGGATTCTTGGACTCATATGCAGTCTTTCCTAGGGCACATGGAAAAACTACCTTTTTGAGTCTTTAAAAGCGTGAGCTCCCATTGGACAGAAACAAAGAGAGGAATAATAAACGGATAACTTTGCAGTGGGGTCTCCGTTGTGCATAAGATGTTAAAGTGGCCTTCCTGAGAAAGCTGTGGGAGCCAGTGAACGCTCCAAGGCTCAGGGAAAGGAGTGAAAAAGCATTGAACAGAATGCATTCTGCTGAAGTAAAAAGTGACAATTTGAAAAAGGGAATGGCGTTCTGAAGGGGGATGAATCAACGCTTGCTCTGAGTCACCCTCAAATCCATAGCTGCAATGCTTGAGATCACACCCTTGCACTCTCTGTTAATCAA